GATGATTTTTTTCCTGGTTCAAATTTTCAATCTACTGATATTAGTTGATTCAATTCATTTGAAAAATTATTCAACAGCAAAGTTATTATTTTTTTTGTGTGTGTAGTATACTTAATAATGTTCCACTGATGAATTATTAATGAATGATTATAAAAGAATTTTGATCATACGATACATCAAACGTTTGTTTATATTCTTACAACATCGAAACTATGCAATTTGTTGTCCCGTGCATCGCACGGGTACAATTACTAGTTAAGTTTAAAACAGATTGATTTTTAATTTTTGGAAAATTATTTTTAATTAAGCTCAAACCCTATATTCACGATCCAAATCATTCATCTTTCATCTATTTCTATCTTTTCTCTTCACAACCGCCACCCCTCTCTCCCTTCTCTTCACATTGCATAGTGAATTTCAAATTTTAAATTGGATTTTACGTTAATTCTTTTACAGTGAGTGTGTAGTAAATTTCATTTTTTGGCAAACCTGTTGGAAAAAATATAAAAAAAAAGATTTTTTTATAATTAACAAATTGAAAAAAAAATTACATAGTGGATTTTGATAAGAACCATTTTTTTTAATGCAGTAAAAATAAATTATTATCTTTTTAAAATAAAAATAAAACAATAAATAAGAAAGAACTATTTTAAATTAAATAACCAAAAATAAAAATAAAAATGAAACGAAAATGAAATTAATATATATATATATATATATATATATATATATATATATATATATATATATATATATATAACAAAGAAGGGGTTTTTGTGCATAATTCGCTAAGTAATTAAATCTCTTTAAATTTGTGATATGTAAAATAAAATCCTATTTCACGTTTCTTCTCTTTCTCTTCTCCTTTTCTCTCTACAGCCGCCACCTCCATCCCCTTCCACCTCTGTGCCGCCGCCGCCCCACTTCTTCCATAGCGTCGGCCTAAGGCTTTGACATCGTCGTTCTCCTCCACAACCGGCTCCTCCAACGCCGCCGCTCCTCCACAACCGCCTTGAATCCAACACGGAAATCAAACAACGTCGATGGGAAGCACGGTTACAAGTGCATATTTCGGATCTCGTCATTCCGACAAAACCAACGATGCAAAACGCCTCGCGACCAAGTTCATATCTGGTGCCGTTCAATTCAAGCAAAAAGTTTATATTTTTTTCTTGTTTATTGTGATTTTCTTTATATCATTTTTGCTATGATGTTTTTCAATTTTCTTTATACATGTTTCCGTTACTTTGTAGTTGATTTTGGATTTTGTTGTTTTTATTTTTTTGTACTTATTGTCGATAACTTTACAGTAGTTTTCGATAGTTTTATACTTGTTTTCGATATTTTGTCTTGATTTACACAATTTATAGTTGTTTACCATTTCTTTTATAGCTGATTTCGTTCATTTGTAGTTGTTTTTATTTTTTTATAAATTTGTTATTTGTAAATCACTGTTTTTTATATAGTTGTTTTACAGTTTTCTAATAGTTGACTATGGCGAAAAAAACGAACAGTCGAAAAGAATAGATATTTTCTAATAGTTGTTTTACAATTTATAATTGTTTTTCATTACAAAAAATGGCAAAAAAATAGTTGTTTTCTGGAAAAAAAAATGCCAAAAATAACTGAAACTTAAAATTAAGAAAAATGAAATAAAAAATCGAAATTATAGTCGATTTCAGAAATATTATAGTTGGTTTCAAAATATTTATAGTTGATTCCTAAAAAAAACGTAAATTAAAAAAATTAAAAAAAATAAAATATTTTTGAAATAAAAAATTAAAAGAAATATATTTTTTTAAAGCTATTATTGGTAGTTTTTAAATAAAAAATTAAAAAAACAAAAAATTAACTTTACTTAAATTATATATAAAAAAATTAGAGTTTGTAGATGGTAGTTTATGGAAAGATTTGGGAAGCAATTTTTTGGGAATATAATCACACACGATTGTTGGTATCTCGAATTTTCGGATTTTGTGTGTGTGTCTTCCAGAAGCCTATTTTCGGAAATCATTAAAATAGTGAGTTCTCTACTTATATTGAAAATATGGTGGATCTTTTTTTTAGAACAAAAAATATGGTGGATCATCCCTTATTAAAAAAACACTAGATAGTCCCCTTTTTTTTAACGTCCGCCGCTAAACGTTGACTGTAATTATGTTGTCATTAACGGTAAATATACTGTCAGACAGTAAATTAACGTAATTGTACTGTCACTGACAGTACATTAACGTAATTGTACTGCCGTTGACAGTATATTTATGTAATTGTACTGTCGTTGACATACGATTAGAGTCAATGACAATATTATTATTATTATTATTATTATTATTATTATTATTATTATTATTATTATTATTATTATTATTATTATTATTATTATTATTATTATTATTATTATTATTATTATTATTATTATTGTTCTTTTTTCTTTTCTTTTTTTTTGATTTGTTGACGAGTTAATGTAATTATATTACTGTCGTTGACAGTAAAATAACTTTAAACACAATAATATTACTGTCAACCACATCAATATTATTACTTTTTTGGGATTTTTTTTTGTTTTGTTTGAGTTATTCACGGAGTAACGTAATAATATTACTGTTTATTAATGTACTATTACTGTAAACACAATAATATTACTGTGGTTGACGTTAAAACTACTGTTGTTATAGTAATCTTACTGTCACTCACAGTAATATTAATTCTTTTGGCTTTTTATTATGTTTACCTTTGTTGAACGGTCAACATATTAATATTACTCTATTGCACAATAATATTGAGTTTTGTTGTGTTAATATTGTTGTGCTAGAGATTAATATAGCAATATTATTGTTTTAAGTTGTAGTATAGTTAATTTTAATGTATTAAACAGTAATATAGTTAATATTACTGTCAAACACAACAATATTGTTGTTTAAACGGGGGCAAAAAGATGTTAAAGAAAAAAAACAATCACAAAAAGTTAACGCCGGAAACCGGTGGCGGAAAAATCAGGAAGAAAAAAAAAACGTCAACGCCGGAAACCGGCGGAAAAATCTGGAAGAAGAAAAAAAAAAGTCAACGCCGGAGACCGGCGGCGACGAACGAAATTTTCCATAAAAATGTGTTTTGGGTCAAAATTGAATAAGTTGTGAAAGTTGGGATCAAATTGGGGTTATATTAAATTAATGGATAAAATTAGAGCATATTAAAATATGAGTGGCTATTTTAGTCTTTTACAAACCTCAGGACCATGTGTGGACTTTTTTGTAAAAGTATTTATTGTCTGGACCTCTTTATGAATAAGAACTCATTGGTGGATTTATTTATAAAGTGCCCAACAAAGAAATCAAAAACTGCACTAAATTTGAGTAATTTAAGTATTCTGCAATTTAACGGATTATCCCAACACTCTACTAAAATTCAATGAGGGGATTTTGATCAAATAGCCGCCAAATATATTACTTATTTGCAATATTTAATCAATATGAGTATGTGACCTAGTAACTTTTGGGCCAAACATATTTCTCTTAGAAAAATTTGAAAATGTTTTAGAATAAAATTTCAGAATACTTTAAAAAAAAAGTTCTAGTAGATTAATTAGAGACATTAAATTACAATACTGCTAACGATTGATTAGGACTATTGTGATCGAGTATAAGTAAGACTTGTTATTCTCATTTTGTACCAAGGAAGCAGATTTAAAATTTCATTAGCAACACAAGTTTCAATCTCCAAATCATCTACTCCTCATAAGTTTTGTTCGAAAATATTTGGACACCGATAGAATGCTTGAAGAGTATGCAATATTAAATTCAACAAGAAACCCTTTAAAAACACATCAACCTTACAATATCTTATACAACTGTTATATTCAAGAAAATTATGAAAAGTGAAGAATCATTTTGGACCATGCATTAATATGTTTAAGAAATAATATATTGAATTACTAGATGTTAGAAAAAGAATGCTCAAGATCAAGTCACTCATAAATTTTAAAAAGTAACAATTCAGTAATTTTGGTGCCCTATTCGCATCTTTACCATCACAATCTTAGCATCGTGTAGATGTTGAATATGTTTTCTTTTGTTTCGGATTTATCGTGAATATTAGAAGACCACAATAGTATCATTTCTAGGGCAAATTATGACAAGACTAGTACTGCACTATTGCACCCGTGCGATTCACGGGGCTATTTTTCGTGAAAGCAAATATTTGATTACAAAAAAGTGCTCGAATTACAAAGATCAAAAGTTTATTATCAATGATAAATAAATTTATAAAAAATATATAGATATAGATGGATACATAATTAATTGAAATTGTAGATCAGTAATACTTGAAATACTGATCGAGTTAAATAATATCTTCAAAGTAAATGTCTATATTGAACTCAACTACTCAACCGCTAAAAAGAAAATTTGGACTGATTTTATGTTGCATGCTTTCTAAATTATTGGCCAAATATAGTATTGATGTTCGTTACTTGATTAGCACAAAAATTAGTTACAACAACAACTCATTACCAATTCTTTTTACCTATACATATACCATATATACCAAATGTGTCTTAATTAAAACTTGCAGCAGCAAGAATGCTTGTTAAGGCAATTATGTAGAGAAAATGGACTAAGTTTTGAAAAACAAGGAAAAAGCAACTTGTGTTTAAGCGATGTCATAAGTAGAAAATCAAGATAGCTTCATACTCTACACATATCAAATTACGAACAAAAACGATGAACGGAACATTTTAGTTGTTGTTTGCTTGTAAGCAAACTTATCGAGTCGGTGGATAGCATTTATTGACGAGTAAGGTTTTGAAGGTTCTTTTTTATTGTTCTATTTGTTTCCTATTTTTGTTGCTTATGTGGGATTTTGAGTTGGTTGAGAAATGTTAGAAATGGCCACGAATTTACTTATAAATAACCAACTTCAATCATAAGTGTAATATATTAAATCATAAGCCATCTTCTACATATCTAAATACTCAAAGGAAACCAACATAAAAACAAATGAAAATGGTGCATGTTTTTTCAGCCTCCAATGTTTTTAAGTTTGTGTTTATAATCTTGGCGTCAATTGAACAAACCGCTGTCGTAAAATCCAACCCGTTATGCCCTTCGGAGTATCCAAAGTTTGGAGTACCGATTTACAAAGGAGATATAGACATGTTGCAGTTTGCCGAGAATCTAGAGCATTTGGAAGCAGATTTCTTCCTATGGAGTTCACTCGGTTATGGACTCGACAAAATTGCACCCGAGTTGGTCATGGGGGGCCCACCCCCTATCGGTGCTCAGAAAGCAAATCTCGATTTCCTCACAGAAAATATCATTCGAGAATTCGCCTTTCAAGAAGTTGGCCACCTTAGGTTCATTCTTGAAGCCACTATTTTTTTTATAATTTCCTTTTTCTTTTAATTATAAATATATTTAAGTTTGTTGATAATATTAAGTGATATATATATATATATATATATATATATATATATTATGAACTGATTAACATAGTTTGATACTAATGCAGAGCGCTTAAAACAACGGTGGGTGGATTTCCTAGGCCTTTGCTGAATCTAAGTGCCGAAAACTTTGCGAATATATTCAATGAAGCGTTTGGTTACGAATTAGTACCGCCTTTCGACCCATACCGTAACAGCTTAAGCTACATGTTGGCTTCTTATGTGGTTCCGTATGTAGGATTAGTCGGCTATGTGGGCACTAATCCTAAATTGATTGGCTACGTTTCCAAACGGGTTAGTTGTCTACATTTAAGTTTTCAAGCTTTTTATCTCGATACGTTATTTTGAGATCCCAACTAACTTTATGTACATTGTCGAGAACATGTATCCTTAAAAGGGCTTTTTTTTACGACGATTTTTTTCAATTCTCGGGATACTTATATAAAAATTAAAGTTATATTGCCTCCATGCCAAATTATTTGTCGTTTTTTAGACGAAAAAAAAACATGGTTTGAAATTATTTGTGTCTCTACATTTCAAATGATGCATTTATTGTACGTTTCTCAATTTTACCCTTATTACTCTTAATTAATTGATAAATTGAATTAATGGTGAAACAATTAATGATTCATATTATTAGTTTTTTTCTAGAATTAATGCATATTTATTATTTTTCTTAGTACATTTCCACAAATATTTTGGCATATAAGTACTATAAAGCATGTAAAAAGAAATTATAAATATTAACTGGATTTGTTATCAGTATGAAATGAAAATGAAAATCATTTAATGCATGATGGGAATGGATGGCAGCTATTGGTAGGATTAATGGGAGTGGAAGCAGGGCAAGATGCAGTTATAAGAGAGTACCTATATGAACGGGCGGCAAAGGTGGTGCACCCGTACAATCACACGGTGGCGGAGTTCACAATCCGAATATCGGAATTGAGAAACCGTTTGGCAAGATGTGGAATAAAGGATGAAGGAATTATAGTACCTCCATTTCTCGGGGCGGAGAATCGGACCGTAAGCAACGTACTGTCAGCGGACTATAACTCACTCTCGTACAGCAGAACTCCGCCGGAGATACTAAGGATTGTTTACGGCACCGGCAGCGAGTGTGTCCCCGGGGGATTCTTTCCGAAGGGAGGAAATGGAAGAATAGCCCGACAATTTCTCGATAAGCCGTCAAATTAAAATATTATTATTATGGGTGTGCTATGTGTGTGTTGCATGTTTGAATTTTATTCCAGCAATAAATAAGAGGGTTAGTACTCCCACTGTACTTTTGGTTGTTTGATGATGTTCTACTACAAACATGTTTGCCGGAAATTTGTATGCAGATGAAAGTTGTGACCAATAAATCTAGTCAGATTGTAATGTATATATATTTCTCATTCTAATAAAAATGTGTAACTTCAAAGAAAATTAATAATTAAAAAGAGTTGACCTTAATTTAAGGTTCAATTATTATTTATTTATTTCCGAACTTAAGACTAGGTTGTCTACGTATCCTCGTATCGAATTAAGGTCCACATAGTTCTTACAATGTAGCTTGCGATGTCATCATCCCTCTTCGGAGGATTGAAGGATTGAGTAATTTTTTATCAATAACACTTCGTCTTAAGAATGTGAAAATTTTTACGGACCTTTGTCCGTTGAAACTTACGAAATCAAGTACAACTATCCAAATTGCCGAAAAATCCCTTTTTTTTTTAAATCTATTTTACGAATATCTATGTAATGTAAGACGTCAAAACTGAAATTTTACGTAAAAATCTATTGTTGTAAACATAATATCAGAAATATATAACATGCAGCCAGTGTACGTAAAAACTGTCGCATACATTACATCACAAGTACTAAACATGATTGCAAGCAGATATAACTTTGAAACTGTTCAACCACTCCAGTAACTCATCAATATCTATACTTCCACTCAGTTAATCTAGGTACACGAAAAAAGTCCCGTCGAAAAGTCACATTGTCAAAGCAACAACTAAAACCACACCTCCTTAACCTCTCTACACAACTCAACTTCTGACATGTATATCTTGGTATCTTCTTATTTGCTCCAAAAAGAAAAGGGAAGTAAAAAAAAAATTGGAATATGAGACGTATAAATATAACGGAAATCAATACGCATGAAAAACTGTATCACTCATCGTCAGATTTTTCGGTAGGTGTTCCAGCGAGCCAGCCCCATACGCCGCCTGAGCTCTGCTTTTCTTTTGCATTTTGTGCAGCTTGTTCAGAAGCAGCTTTTTGACGCTGAAGGATTTCGAGCTCCTTTTGTAAGGTCTCCATGTTTTGTAGCTTCTGTCTTAGTTCCGCAACGTCAACCTGTTAGTACAAGCATCAATTATTAACCCATGTGCTTTTCGGGTTCAATTCAAAATCGAACACATATGGCACATATTTGAACATGGGCTTTTTCACCAAATATAACGCCCCTAATGCAGGAAACTTCAGGCTCAAGCTAAGGAAATAAAGATGATCTCAACACAGCATATAATCAAATATGGTTCACAAAAATGCATACAGTGTGACACTAAATTTCTTTAATAAACTTGAAGTTTCTGTACCCAATATTCACCAATCAAATAATGCATTTCAGAATTGGAATTAATTTCTGATATTATACAGACCTCAAGTTTGAAACATCTGGATTGTTCAGCGGCAAGCTGCCCTCGGACGGATTGGAGTTCCTGCAAAATGATGTATCATTTGTTTTAGACAAAGTTAATCTGATTGAAGTTTAAGACTAATTGCGGATATATAACACTTGTTCAAGTGAACCTATCTTATATGCATATTATTTCCATCTTTAGAAGCACGTGCAGTTCTAGACTGTCTTCAATTCTCGACTGAATTCTCATCCAGTCTGTAAGTTATTAGATAAACTTGCTTAAATATATTCCTACAACTGCATAAAAATCGGAACGTCCAACCTATCCCAAATACTCTGCAGTTCAGTTCCATATATAGACAAATACAAGTTGGATACCTAGATAATGCTACCTGCTTAACCATGGCCAGAACATTAGTCCTTTAGTGGTGAACGAGCAATACCACGGTCAATATCTAGTAACTTCATAAACCCTTTTTTGCCAGTTATCCAATGTCCATGTTGTACGAACTTTTTCAAGAAAATAGCATGTCTTAAAATCAGCTTTTTTGCTCTCCATCCCGATTGAGTGAAGATTTAACAATTTTTAGTAGAATAAGAGACTAAAATCTAGAAAACATTTCAAGAAAATTCTTATTTTCTATTTTGGCACAGAAATCTGCTACTCGGATCTGATTTCAAAATGATTTCTGATAATTTTGCCACCTGGGGGTTAGGTCTACCACTTCAAAAATAGATAACAGAGATTACAGAAGAGTTACCTTGTACAAGTCTGTGTGGCGAGTTTCTACTTCTGTCAACTCTTGTTTCAACTTGAGTGTCTGAGTTTTCTCCTTGGTGAGAGACGATTCAAGTTCTTCTTTCTCTGCCTTAAGGGCTGCTAAAAGACGCTCTTTTGTCTCTTCAGCTTTAATAATCTGTGCAGCAACTAGGTTAGCTAATATTTTTTAAATGAAAACGAGAAACTACACCAGATTAAAGAAAAAAGATAATCATCTTTACAATAGCAGTGTTGAAAGACGAATAGTTAGTTTGAATATATGTTAAGGTATTCTAACAAGACTCACTGCAATCTATATACAAGATTTTTAAGAAAGAAACGGCACATAAATGACCTCAGATCTCTATCAAAGAAGATATAAAGTTTGAGTTCAACCTTTTCAAGAATATAGTTGTGATAAAATGAACTCTAATCAGTCATTTTTTCATGGAAAATTCACATGCGTAAATAGATGTGTGATATGTAGGTATTAAGTTTAAAACAACAAAGATACTGAAAACTCGTAACATAATTTTGTAGATTCAATTTCAATATCCATAGTTAGTTCACCCGTCATTTTTATGTCACTTTAGTCATCATGGTAGGCAGAAAGCAAAAAATTGCAGAAGTAAAGCCATGTATCTAAATTAATGTTCTACGGTTGATGCACCCAGAGAAAGAAAATAACCAATCAAGATCCTCTAACATTGAACTTCCATAATGATATATGTTTCATATTCTCACATATCACAAGAAAAAGTTACCAAATCACTGTAAACATCGAAAATACAGGTTAATCACATTGGTTCCAATTAAGAAGTTTAACAGGATGTACTATACTTAGTAGCTCTCCTGACTATCAGAATTAATAGAATGAACTGGTGAACAACTATGCATTTATGCTTTTTATGCTTACCTGAGGTTCAGCAACAATAACGTCAGTAACAATTGTCCTTGTTTTTCCTTCCTGGCCCATCTCTAACTCAGAATCCCCATCTCTTGTGGCATTTGTAACATTTTGAACTGCTGATACACTATCAGGCACCAGTGTCTCCGTCATCTTGGGTTGTAAAGTTGACTTATGGCTTGGTTTAAGTACATTTACCTAATGGCAGTAATCAAAGTCAAATTGAGGGATTGAACTAATGAAACTCTTGAAGAGTCGAAAAGAAAAGGCGAAAAGGGTTATCCAGACCTCATTGTTGTACCTCCCATTATATCCTCCAAATGATACCAGGATATCTTCGCCGCTGTAGGAACTAAGGACCAAACTTGAACCCTGTGAACAGAAGTATATTTAGTTAACGAATGAAAAACAGGACAACTTTGGTTGAATGTACCTGAACAGGCTCATTTAATTTCTTGATTCTTAAGTGTCATTTCACAAAATCATCAAACGGAAAAGATCACTTTTAAATGTTCTTAAAATGAAATAAGTATTGTAAATCACGAGTTACTAAAAGTTGCGGTCTGTTCTTTAGGTTTCCAAATATGTGCTAGAAAATCTTGGTTTCAGGTATAGCTTACGCAAATGTAGCAGAATCTGGGACATTTATTGGATGATGAAACACTAATTTTTAAATTATTTCAGAACTCCAGTGTATGATGTTCATTCCAGAATAACCTTTTACTAGCTTCATGAAATCATTTCAAAAATCATCCATCAACCGGAACTTGGAAGCACAAAAGAATAGTAAATTATACCTTGACGATATAATAGACACATTTATTTATTTCTCCACTTTATATCAAACAGACCCTCAATTCACATAAACAGGCGAGTCATCATCTTAGGGAAAAGAACTACAGATAAACTAGCCAAGTTGGTCGGGGTAAATGACAGTTAAAAAAACTTTACATAATCCAAATAAAAACGATGAATTTCTGCAATATAAAAGACTGAATTCAGTGGTACCAAACAATATATCATCTAGCCACGTGTACGGGTTCTCGTCAGTTGAGACATCGCATACTTTCCCTTTTTTAAAATGCTTAACACTTTTCCTCCAATATCGTGCATTCAATAAAGATAAGATCAATGCCTCCAAAGATACTGGTAACAGACTCCATTGTTTAACTAATTCATCTTAGAAGATCAAGATGGAGCATTAATGTTCATTCTAAATGTGACCTTGTCTAACCAATAACAATGTATAATTTCATTAGCACATAACATATCTATAGAACATGGAGGATAAGATAGAGCATTTTCAGTTTCAACAAATTAGTTACCTCACTGGCAAGAGGAATGCGTCCTTGGACAGTAGTTACAACAGACCAGGCCAACGTGGACATGTTAAGTACAACAGTCTCAGAAACTCCTGCATGCATATGAAAAAAGTTGAACGTTAATACAAATGAATAAAAGCTTCCTTTAACAAATAAGGAATATAATCAGAAACTGGGTCATGTCCACTAATGAGAGTCAACCTACAATGAATAGTGAAACTGGAAACAGAGTTGAAACAAACATATGACATCATCGGACTTTCTAACCAAATGAATATCTGAATAACAGGGTTGTGAATCAAGCACGTTAGGATATCATATTTTTTCTTGATAAAAGCTAGTGGAATCAGACTTTCAAAATAATAAACATCTTCATAACAAAGTAGTGCAATGACATATTCGATATTATAATATCTTTGAAGAACAGCTTTGTACCATATATTAAAGACTATAAAAGTTGGGGGTGAGGGGAGAGAAATCACTGAAAATGAAAACAACTATGGCTTTCATATAGCTTTTAGATTGGTATACATATGGTGGGTAGTGCAGTACTGCAATGAGACAAATAGTTTTCTCTCGGATGATTCTATGCACTTAGCTGCAAATGCCAAATGTAATTCGGCACAGCTCCGCGTGTGTTCATTGTACAATCATTCTAATGTTCATTTTCTCAAGTCCATCTAGATTCTACTTTTACAGAGTCTGAAATTTCGGTATTGAATATTACTCCACTTCCTTTACAAAATTAATCCGGTAATGTACAGTACATCTAACATGATTTACAGAGAAACGAAAAAAGTGATGATGCTCCATTTTTGCTAGTAAGCACATCTTGAATTTTATGACCTCTGTACAAATATTATATAGTTAAACAGAAATTGGAACCTGTTCATATACTTTTAGAACCAAGAATTTTAATTGGTGATCTGGTTATTCCAATTTAAGGCCTTCAGTTTCTTCATACAATGGATAAAACTAAGGGTCTTCATGGAAGTTTCACTACCAAGCATATCATGTCCACACAAATACCAGATAATGCATGAAAAGCATTCATCTGGATTCTGGCGTCTATATAAATTAATTAAAGTTAATTT